TCTGGCCCGTATAGTCGCATGTAAGATAAGCTAGTTTTTTTTAAGTTAGTTTTAAAACATATTTATAACAGGAGGCTTCATCTCACGAAAAAAGGATATAAAATCCACCTAAGAAAATGCAGCTTGTTTCAATGCATTACTAGCACGAGAATAAGCCCAAGCATGCCTCCCTTCAAAGAATCTACGGACTGAGCAGCCGGAGCAACGCTGGATCGCCCTAACCAGGTAATCAGGTGAGTCGGGGCAGCCACACGGATCGGGTGGTTACATTACAGATAGACGATTAAGTATTTTGGTTGAAAATTTTGACAAACATAGTGATCAAATGTTTTGCAAATACAGATGCCCGATAAAGTGAAACTTACCTGGAATTAACATAATATCCACTCTTTACAAATTAATCAATGTACAGCTTGGCATGTAGGAATGCATAGCAAATCTAGGATAAATAATTTCAAAAACATCTCGTTTATTTATTTGGGGCTCATTTAACTTTTAAAGTAATGGAGGCCCGGCGTAATGGTGGAATGAGGCGGAGGAAATGGGAGAACCCAGAGAACTTGCGAAGAACATGCAATTCATCTTGTACTAAGCATTTGTTTTGTACTATGTTAATTTAAGCTAAATGAAACAGTTGTTTTTCCAACAATTTATTCAGAATTGGAATTTACTACAGTTGCATGAAACACTTAAGGAATAAAAGTGTTGGTACATCATTATTTTCTGTAATTTATAATTATAGAAAAAAGTTTGCAATTACAGTGGCATATAAAACTATATTAAAGAACCTACAAAGCTACCATTCTTTGGCTACAGGTTGTACCATTCTTTGTGCTTGACATTAGGGCTTCTGCCGAGGCAGCGTTGCTGTGCGCTGCAGAACATTCGCAGTAAATCTAAAGCGAATACCAGATTTCAGTCCATGTTTCAGTCCGTTACCTGTACTTTCTGGATACCTTTATTCAGGTAAATTTTCTATGTTGGGCGTTATAAATGCACGGCAATAGAGATCAGCTGGTATGCATGCTCTATCCCCTTCACTTGTTCATTCCGAGTTAGTGGCAACAAATGCAGATTACATGGGAAAAGCTGCCACTACTGTGCCAATAGTAAACCACAATTGGCGTATTACATACCCTCGTATTATATGTCCATGTCGTCATCACAAAACTCCCCAACGTTAAGCACAAAGAAGTACGGTACAAAGTCTAGGTGAAACTCCCTAGGATACAGGAGAGGCTAACCCCTCATTTTCTACACCGTCCTTCAACAAATTCAAAATTGAAATTAATTTCTTTACATTACAAATAAAAATATATAAAGCATATTTAGCCTTGGAAATAACTTTCACATTGCATACACGATAACAATGATGGGATGAGGGAAGTATTATATTTATCAAAATGACAAACACTTATGTACCTTCTTAGTACACCAAATATTTATTTTAAAATCTTGTTTTCGCAGCTAAATGAAAACACAAATAATAACAATTCAAAGAAGTCCAGGAAAATAAATAGTCTTAAAGGCAAATTCTATTACATCTGAAATGATTAAAACTACTTTCAAACGCTGACGACGAAATAACTAAAATATACAGGATGCAGGGGAGATGAGGGCCCAAATTTTTATCAATACAGCAAGCAGTGAATTTTTATACAGAATATTAAATAACTTCAAAGATGTAGAGGGCGAATGTCCAGAGATATAAAGGTAAAACATATTTAGGTGGATGAAAGAGCAAAATAATATAGGTATAAGAGGTGCTTGGAAGGGTGATTTAGAAGAAATAGGCCCATCTCGAGCAATGAAATGATCAGTGAGGGTAAGAAATTATTCAAGTTAACGGAGGAGGAAGAGCGGTTTCTGTTAATGGTAATGAGGAGTGTTGGTTAGGACGGAAAACTTGTATAGAAGATAGTTACAATAATATATCAAATAATAACATGGAGGGATGTGAGAGTATACAGATATTGATGGTGAAAGAAAGCGTGGAGTCTATCTACCATTAAAGATTACAGTTGAGAATTAGGAATATAAGGAGAATGAGAAGTCGATAAAGGAAGGTACGAGCATACAATAATAATAAATAAAATTGAGGAATGTTTTTTTATGCGATCAGCACCTAGTACGAGTATTTAAAAAATGGTGCGTCTTGAATGGCCGCGACGTCTTAAAGAAAGGGACCTTGTGAGGAGTGTGTGGAGGGAGTGGTAAGTGTGTGTGTGTGTGGGGGGGGATATTATCAATAAAAGCTAGCCCACCATCCTCCCAGGAATTCAATTTACCCCGGAAGTTATTTAAACATGTTGATTATGTGAAGAGCATTACCTTTATGTTCTTAGCAACGCTGAACCATACTTAGAAAGAGTGATATGAAAATTTAAAAAAATAGAAGGGGCAAAAATATATAGGTTCATTTCTTTACGAAACAGTCAATAAACGATATTCTCTTGAAAGTTAATTAAAATAAAACTAAATTTAATTAATTGTATCACATACTCTTATTCGTATAAATATTCCGACCGTTTCATACTAAATTGAATCCATTTGATACTTTTTAATTTGAATTTCATCTGCAATGAAGGTCATAAGTAAAAATCTGGCACATATGAGGATGTGAAGAGATATTTCTATTTATTGCTCGGTCAAAGTATAAAGATACTAATCATCTACTGCTGATTGACACGTGCTTCAGAGTGACGCTCTAGCAGACGCCGCAACAAAGTAGCGAGTAGGCATTTCTATAGTATTCAATTTCTCAGAATCCTCTAAGTTATCGCGCTTTGAAATTTACCAGACTTGTGTAGAACACTTCAGAAAACACTATGGTATATTTTTCGAATTTTAAAACTGTCAGGTTACAGAAGAAAGTTAAAAAATCAAAACAAGTCAAAACGAATTTTAAAAAAATTAAAGCATTTTATTCATACATCAAATAAAAAGCATCTCTAATGCAGTAAAATATTACATTTCTTTTACAATTAACTTAAGTGATGCAAGCATTTATTCGAAAATATTGAAAATTAATATCGTCTCGAAAAATATTCTTCGGAAAACAAGGAAACGTGTGTTTCGTATTTTCTCTTCTACTCTTCACAGCAAAAAGTTTAAAAAATCTTGGACATCAAGCTCAAATTTTCCTTAAGTTTGTGCGATTTGAGGTGGAATGACTCACGAGTGGACTGTTCCTTTGCATTTTGGGTGATGCTATCTGGCCATCTCTTCCTAGGTCTTCTAACCGGTTTGCCGAAGTAGCAGTCAAGAAAACGGTATGAAGAAGTTATGATTGTTGAAGGAGATACATAAGAATGGAAACTAGCGTACATTTATCCCATTCATAAGAAAGGTAGTAAAAAATCATGTGACTACTATGGTGGAATAAGCGTTGCATACTCTTCCAATAGATTTTTTCTTGGAGGCGGATTGTAGCAAAAAGATCAGAAAAGGATTTGAAGGTATCGAGGGGGAGGAAGTAGTACAGCAACTCCGAGGCCTGTGCCATCAGAGGTGCAGGAAGTGGGAGCAGCTGTAGGACCCCCATCTATCAAGATGGTTTTATTTTCCAATAGTTGATAACAAAACTTGTAGTTTTATCTTGCAAATGCAAGCTTCATTTCAGATGTAGCAATTCAAGAAACATCACTGTTATTACACAGGTTAGATCTTTTTGTTTCAGATAATTAAACTACTTATGACAGATTTTCAATGTCTAAGAGGCCATAGAATAATGAACATTGACATACTGTTAAATTGTTCCAACCGTTACAAGAAACAACCATTCAGCTAACTCTATCATTTTTATGGAATGCGAACATGATGTAGTGGTTTGTCATAATGTTGTCATTTTCTACATTGAGCCATATTATCACAAAGAACATGAGTAATTAAAAATCAAATATATAACTTTTCATTTATCAGAAATCCAAGGACTTCTCATTAAGTCATTCCCTCAAAATTGATATTAGATTTCTCAGAAAAGATAAACCCATTTACAAATCAACATAAAGTGTAGACACAATCATTTGCAAATACCAAGATGTATCATATATTTGTGTAGATTTTAATCATCTTCAAACAAAAATTATGGACAGATTGTAAAATACTTAGTATTTAATAATCATGATTAATAAATATTTACAATTATATATTAACATTGGTGAACAAAATACAAATGAACCACAATTCTAAGAACAGAACATTAATTCACTGACTGATGCATAATCACCAAGTGCGTTTTGAAGCTCAAAGAATCTCTTGAAAACATTTTTTTTGTTGGTAATTAACATAACGAATTTTCACTGTAAATGCAGCAGAATCAATTGGCAATGAACATTTTCTGTTTGAAAGTAATATTTACAATAATTGTAAAATTAGTTACTTTCATTTTGTCTTTTTAATGAATCCTTTCTTGACTCTTACTCTTTTATTTAGTCATTACTAATATACAAATCCCTGCCAAATCACAAGTCACTCTCTCTTCAGATTAGAGTGTTCATTATGTTGATTTATGAAGACCACTCACTGTCATGATTATTGTGGATAAAAACTAATTTAATCTTTAGATACTTTCTGTGTCCACAAAAAACCATTTATTTTAAATTAAACTGTCCAAGCTGAATGAAAATTAACATTACAATAAAATAAAGGGATGCATTAAAAGACACTTAAAATATGAATATGAAGAGACAATATACAACTACAGAATATTGTTACAAAACCCACCTCATTATATGGCTGTGAAACATAAATGGCAAAACAGAAAAAAGAATCAATGCTCTACAAAAGAGATATTTTAGGTCGATTTTGAAAACACTGAGGCGAGACATGATAAGAAATGATGAGATTTGAAAAAGAAAACACAATTTTAGAAATTGAGAAATACCAAAAGATGTGGCAAGAACTTATTAGAAGAATAAAGAATAATTTCCCAAGAGAAGCACTCAAATAGTCAAGTCAAGAGTAACAAGAGACTGAGGCAGACCAAAGAAAACATTGGATCAGGAACACCTTGGTAGAGACTCTGAGAATACTGGAAAATTAAAAAATTGCATGTGAAAAGGACTAACCTTGAATGTTCGTGAAAATTATCTGTTGAAGCAAGGAATGTACATGAATTTTAATTTTCCTGCAACTTTTATGATAATTGCCAATTCACTAATTATTTAAAGCGATATCAATGTCAAAATTACTTTTATACGTATGGAAAAAATGAGCATTTTATTCTCCAGAAACTTTATAACTCATTATGAATCAATATCAGAAAGTTTTTATCGGAAAATGTAATTTTAACATTTTAAAACTGGGTTTAACACATCCCATTACACTTTGTATATAACTTGATCTTATTAAAATTCTTTATCGAGAAGGAATGGTAAATAGTTACAAAATTTATAGGAATTTCATCTTCCCTTTCTTCAAAGTCCCCTTTATTACTTAAACTAAATAGAAATTCATTGATAACAAATAATACCCTAAACAAACTACATCCATAAACTGTATTTCTGATAAAATACTATCTTTTATCTTTACCAAAAAGATTAGACCAATAAAAAAGCCTTTCCGAAATCGAAAGTACAAGATTCACTCTTCTCTTACTCTTATCAAAACTGAACAATTTCAAGGAAGGTAAATACGCACTGTAGCTGAAAAACGTTGGCAGCATACAGCGCATTTTTCAAGAGAGGGTGCACACTTCACGCATGCAACTACATGGCCGCAAGGCAAAAATGCCACACCTAATTGCTCCTGCCAGCATATCTTACACAATCGGTCATCAGAGATAAGGCTTTCATCTTTCTTGGAAGCTTCTCCATTTTTCTCTTTGTTGACAGAACTTTTGGCTGTTGCTGTACGATTATCCTTATCTGAGCTTTTGGATCCTGTAAAAGAACCCTTTGATGCCTTAGCTTTAGTGCTGTTGCTCCTACGACTTTTGGATCCTCCAGACTTGCCAGATTTCTTAACTGCCCCTGTGGACGCGCCTGGTTGAGATGAATCTAGCTGAAATGCCTCTGCCTGAGATTCTGGTTGTGATCCCACTGGCTCTTGGTTGGAAGGATTTTCAATTTCTGCTGACTCATTTGAAGTCCTGTAACAAATCAACCCTTTATCAGGCATGTCTGAAAGAACATGTGATGTATCACACATCGTATGATACTACAGATATAAAGTGAATACACATAGTTAAGGCATTTCGAGCAGAGTAGCTAGTCAGACGCATGTGTTCAAGGTAGAGAGCGCTTTTGTTGCTCTCCACGACCAATTATGCCAACGCTGAGGGAGAAAGGAGCGTTTGAAAGCCAGCGGGGCATGGCGCTGGTTTGTGGCGAATAAGGGAGCAGTCAAGAGGTCACTCGCAAGCGAGCTACTGGACGCCGAAGACTGGGATAAATAAACATTTGAAGGGTTAAAGAAAGGAAAGAATGACAGGGTTGCAGGAATGAGCAGGGAAATGCTCGCCAGCGACTCACCAAGCAGTAAATTCAGACAGAACAATAAGCCAATAGGCGATGCAGGAAATATGTGCGGGCATGGACGTGCAGCCGCCGAGATGACCCTCTTAGTTAGCCAGCTAATAAGAGGCGTAGAGCTGGCGGTGGCGACGGCCATCATCAACGTGGCGAGACGAAGCCGAACTGCCTCGTTTGACACAGCCAGCGGCAAAATCAAAAATGTATTGACGCGTGTGTTTCAAGTGGGACGCGCGAAATTCATATTCTGGCTCCCATAATCCATTAGAAACACCATGGAGCGCCCAAACTGGGAGGGCCATTAACAGCTTACACAAGGAGCGCCAGGCTGTAATAGTCTGCGCTGGCACAAATGTGTTAACACAACATTTTAGACGCCTACAATTATTGTAAACAAAATAAATACTATTTGAAGTACTAATGTGTTAATTTTGCTTCATATTTCTTAGTGACTCGCACTACCCCCATCTTGACTCTCATTACCCGCTTGTGAGGGTACTAGAGGTCAAATGCAAATTTTTGGAAATTTGATAGTAAAAGAGTTTTAGTGATTTTTTGATTATTTTTGTGGTGAAAACAAGCTCAATAACCAATGTGTGATATAAAAGTACATACTTGTTTATAGAAACAATTCGTACTGATTTATATTGAAAAAACAAAAGTGACTCCCGCTTCCCCTACATACGGTTATACATACATAATATACATACGGTTACACATACATAATTATTCCCGCTTCCCCTACATACGGTTTCTCTATTGCAAATAATATTCCTATTATACGCGAAGAGAACTGCTCTTCCGTTTCGAATCATCTACGAGTACTAAGAAGAGAATAGGCCCAAAATCGATTCCTGCGGGACTGCATGTACAAATAACACATTTATCAAAAATATTTACAACATGTACAAATTGTAGACAAACATATATGCATTTTTTTAATACATTTTTATATATCGTAGTTGTAGATTTCTATTATAACAGGTGAGCTTTCATTGAATTCGGTTCAGTGTAAAGTTATTTGTTATTTTGGTCATTTGTGAAAATCATTTGGGCTACATGAAAATTTTATAATTAAATATTCAGTTGAACCTGATGAGGAAGACAGAACAGTCTCCGAAACGTCGTAACACAAGTGAATCAAATTATTATATAACATTTTTTGGCAGTTTTCATTGTGGTTGTCCATAATTTTAAAAAAACGACTAAACAACAAGTAAATAGAATTTTATTGTGACAACCAATTTTAAAAACTCAATCTTAATAAAAAAGTTGAACATTTCAATTTTCAAAAATTCGAAGATTTTAATTTACATTATTCCAAGATCTACTTTTGAAGAACAGATTTCATTTAGAAAAAATCAGTAATGTCAAAATTGTAGTTCTGCAATGTTAATTATTTGCTTGCAATTTTCAAAAATTCAGCAAATTCGAGAATATTTGCCAAATATGGAACTTACGCCATTTTTAAGTACCGTTTGCTCCACCAGAGGGAAAAACTAAAATAAACACTCGGTGCCGATTTTGAGAAAAAATATATAAATTGCTTTAATTTCAATAACAAATTTCGCAAAAACTACACATTTTTCAAAAAATGTACAAGACTTTATTCACATATGTTTTATAACATATTTTATTTTAAAAAAAATATCTCCATCGTCCATACCAGGATTGTCCAACTGGCGGCTCGCGGAGCCATTTTTACTTCCTCGCTCATAAAAAGGAATTTCGTAACAAGAGAAAATTATGTAATGTTGCTCGAAAAAAACGGCGAATTTTCGGCAGAACGACTTATTACAGGGCCCTGGTAATGAAAAGTGGGTACATTCAGATGCTAAATTTAGAAACAAAATCTCTAACATGTGGAGTATCCAGCATCCCCGTTTTGTGGGTCGTTGATACCGAAAAATCGACAAAACGTCTGTCTGCGAACAACGCAAGCGGATTTTCAGCCGATTTTCTCCAAAAGTGATATTCCTAAATCGATGTGGCTGATGTCGAGGCCCCTAGAATTTTAAATTGATATTTTAATTTTGGGGAGACTTTCCAAAATTTTCAAAAAAATTGTACCATCGATTTTGTTGGATAGTCTGAAGGACGTTTAAGATAATGGTGTAGGTCTCATGTTGGTTGAAAATCCTGATTTTTCTAAAATTGAAAACACTTTTTCGGCGTCTTCCTACAACTTAAATTTCCTGATTTTTCCCCTTAGTGATATCTGTTCCTTAAATATAGATTTTGAAATATGGTCATGTACAATTTTCCTAAAATTGGGGATTTTCAAGTAAGGTCATGTTGAATTTTTCGGAACTATGAGTATTTTTGGAGTAACTGGGCGTCATAGTCAGTCGCCCGCTCTGAAAATACTGCGCTTCTTGATTCGCTTCGTATTTTGAGGCAGTTGGATGCTACGTAAGTTAGAATTTGTATATTATTTCATGTATCATTTTATTAGTATTCATTATAATACTTGTTATTTAATTTTAAATTGCATACTTTAATACATTGTGTTAAATGTAAAAGCTAAAGATGAGCGATCATTGCAGGTTGTTTTTACCCTTTGTAACGCTACGCCGCACTGATAAGACAGCTTGCAATGGTGGCTACTTGTAGTTCGCGAAAATAAAAACGAATACGTTTATATATTTGTAGAATATTACAATACCATAGTTTTTAATAATTACTATTATATATTTTTAGATGTATTCGTTTTTCAACGCTATCAGTATCTTCTTATTTATTAACTTTTACTTTCATGCATTCCGCTTATTTTTCGCACCAAATGTTCTACATTTCAAATGATTTTTACAAAAAAGAATTCGGAGAAATTATGGTATAAATAGTATCACATAACCATTTCCTCCTTTTCCTTTCCTTCGTTTGTGTCGATTACCCTAAAATTAACCTTCACAATAAAACTTCACTTTCGGCATTTTAACTAACTAATATTGCAGAAATATAGCTCAAAGTGCAATTCTGAAATAAAACAAAACGCACGCGGGTAAACAGAGCTTGTAAACAATTTTTATCGAAGAAAATGTAAAACTGCGAATTATCTCTGTATTCAATACTGTCAACATGTTCTTCAAAGACTTTAGATAGACGAATTACTACGAAGATTTTGGCAACAAAATTTAATACGGAACCATTTTACTCAGGAGGATGAGTGGCTGACACTTGTCTAAAAAATCTGGGCATTAAAAAGGCCCTCGTCAAATCGGCTCTTCAAAGTGATTTAAACATGAACGTGTTAAAATAATAAGTATACATTTTTAGAATCAGTAAGAATTGCAGAATTTTATGAAATAAAAACCCAATTTCTATGTTTGAACCCCTCATGAAGTCCAGGTCCCCTTATATGAATAGATGGTCCGGATATCTCCTTTTCCTTGTGGAAGAGGGTGGGGGGAGAAGGTTTAGTATCCACAGAGACGGATATAAGATTCATCCCCGTGGTCCCCACCCACCACGGAGACCAACAAGGGTTCACTCCATCGGGGTGCCAGGGTTACCACGGAGATATAGTTGGAGGGGGGGGGGGAGAGAGAGACAGCGCTGCCCCATTGTGGATATCCCAGCTCACCCTCGAGTTCAGTACAAGACCTAGTACAAGCCAAGCACCAACAAAATATGGGTGAAAACAAAAATTAAAAATGTACAATGTTATATTGGGGGCGTATTTAATTTGGTATCATTTTTAATATTATCTGTCTCGGCTGGCTTATGGACAGTGTGCTAGCTTTGAGGTGGTCCCGGGTTCCATTCCCTTCCAGGCAAAATTAAAGCTGCAGTTATCTAATACAAACGTGAATGACATAAAGCTCAAGCAGTCCAAATAAGCTTGGTACGGTGATGGGAGACCGTCGTGCTCGCTGCATGTCTCCCTTACCCTCAGGCATGGATAATAAAAACAGGGCCCCGCTGAGAACACTAGTTGGCAAATCGGATTAATTCAACACTAAAATTACTACATTAGAACTATTCATTTCTAAAATTAATACATTATTACTATTTTACGTTTTCATCGGATTCCACTGTCACTAAATATTCTTATAGTTGACAATGAAGCACCATGCTGCACGAGCATTTCAACAGACAAATTATTTCCTTTTCAGCTGTGCTTTTATGCTTGGTAGACTCCAATGGCTCTCTAGAAATACATTAATACTAATCGTTGGATCTGGTTCAACCCAGCGATAAATACTTTCACAAGCTCACTGGTATTTAGACTTTGCACTTTGAATACACATCAAATACAATTTCCATCACAAAAATGTTATCATTTTTAAAATTCAGCATGCCTGATTAGTACTTCAGATCCTCTTTGTATTCTGTAAAGAACATGAAATCAAGAGTACAGAGAACATATTAAATGAAGATCCAACACCCTAGTTGATCTAATATGCAATTAAATGTTTGACTTTTTCACTAGAGTAGAGAGAAAGTTATGTAATGCTGCGTGAAAAACTGTACATTTTTTACAGAAAAACTATTAGAGCCCTAGTAATGAAAAAGTTGATAAATCCAGTTGCAAAATTTAGAAAAAATTGTCAAACGCTTAGAGTAGCCAGAATCCATGTTTTGTGGGTCTTTGATACCGAAAAGTCGCATGATGGCAAAAGTGTGTGTCTGTCAACAACCCGATCAGCTGATTTTCTCAAAAATTGATATTCTCCAATCGATCTGGGTGATGTGGCGACCCCTTGAATTTTAAACCAACATTTTAACTTTGCAAGGACTTCGCATTTAAAATACTTCATCGTTTATTACATTTTGTTGATAGTGTGAAGGACGTTTAGGAAAATGGTTTCATCTTCGTTCAAAACACTGATTTTTTCGAATATTGCAAAAGTTCAACATTTTTTCGAGGTCTTCTTACAAGTAAAATACAAGATAGAGATTTTTCCCCCACAACGAAGTCTGTCCCTTAAAAATAGATCTTTGAAATAAGCTGTACACTTTTCGAAAATTTGAATACTTTACGGGTAATTTTGCGTGAAAATATGGATGAGAAGATACATGCTGTTTTAGCGCCACTAGTTTTTCTTTTTGTAACACACATGCCACAGTACTGAATAGGGGCTGGAGCAGGGGGTCACTAGCATTGCTGAGCACTGTTGTGTGAACCCTTTTGCAGTCTGGAGTGATGCTACTGCTCTTACAACAATAGTTCTCAAGAAGCCACAGCCTCAACCGCCCCTACCACAGCATTTCCAACTGCCCCTTGGTGCACCAGTAAAAATCCCTATATCAAAGATAGTCTACTGGATGCAAGAGTGGAAAGACTGCTGGAAATTAAGTTTATAATGACGAAAATAAAAGAAACCTAATTCTTGTAAAGGTGCAGGAGTTGGAAAACAGACTTCTTTCAATGAGAGGGCACATGAGTTGCATGCAATGAAATTTTCTATGATGAAATGAAATATTGACAAAGGATTCAAAATAAAGGTTTTGTTAAAATTGTCTTTATTTCAATAACTGCTTCTAATATTACACATTCAATAACAAATTGAAAATTATAAAATCTGACATGTGAAGAAATTTAAAATAAGCATTTCCTTGGGTAAATGAAAGCAAAAGATTTCTACAGAATTGCTATGTAACTTCCGAATTTTTACAATACTATAATTAAAATTTCATAATATTTTTAAGCCTTGTAAGGTTTCCTGAATAATTAAACAAAGAGGTTTTCCTACATCTAAACTGAATCTCATCTCTGGCTTGCAGAAAAAAGTTTCATGTATTTCTCCCTAAGTCAGCGAGGTGTACCATTACAGACAGCATAAGATATGTGAAAATCTTCATCAGCTCTTCTTAAAATGTTGTGTAGCACTTCAGTAGCAACAATTACTCTGAAAATAGTCTCAGTCTGAGATCGTCTGCAAGCACTTGCCACACACCAAAGGACCTTACTATAAAATTCCTAGTTTTGATATATTTCATTATATATTTGTTATATTCTGCTTGGGTGCGGGGAACATCAAGTTGTGTTAATAACAATGAACATGTATGTTCTTCTTCCCCAAACAGCACACTGTCCCATGAGAGTCAACTTGCATTCCTTTCAGAATAACTAAGTATTATGCTGTCATAACAGATTCCAGGCCACCTTGCAGCAATGTTGGTAATTTCCATATTTGTGTTGCATGTGGCCTTAACATGGACAGAAAATTAAGGTCTCTCTTCCTAAATGGTTCAGCATTATTACCACCACGTGACTTAATTCGTACATGGGTGCAGTCCATTGCCCCTAGCCCATTTGCTTAAAAATCTTAATTTGATTTTTGCACATTCTTGGTCACACTGGGAATGACGAATAAGACGGAAGTAACTGTAAAAGTTAAGCTATTGCTCAGATCTCTCTCTAGGCAATGTGAAATCCAGTTAATTTACTAAAGCCACAATTCACCAGATGTTAATAAAGGAAAGTTCATGGCATAGAATCTTGCAGCACAGAGAAACTGGGCCATTAGAGCAATACAGTCATTCCTGGAAAGTTAACAAAGTCCATTATTTATCATTAAATAAAATACTTCAAATTGTATTACATTCATTATGTCCTCAAGCCTATTGCTTGTGGAAACAAGTATGTTGCATATATAAAACAATACTTACTTGCTTGTCATACGGAAATTTCAACTTTTTCTCAATCAATGAAGAGACGTAAGGTGCCATCCATTTAGAAAGACAAAATCTCTAAATAAAAATGATATTGTGGAGTGTTTCATAATAATTGGTTCTTTTATGAATTAGTCCTGGTCGCTGTAAGTATCCCCACAATAAATCTTCAAACACATCATCGTCAAAAACAAATTCCACTCTTCGGTAGAAATTAATGCCACTAGCAAGTACTAAAATTGGAAGATCTCTATTCTAAAGAGAACTAATCAGTTAAATTGTTAAATAAAACTATTATATCTGTCATACACCGATTGTCTCTTTTACATAATAATAGAGACAAGCTTCACAAAATACATATATCTATAATTTAGAAATAACAAATTCTAGTATATATAGCCTACATTAACTTTTTCAACAAGATTGTAATTATGGGTTTAACAGCAACAAATTGCTATAAATTCTCAGATCAATCAATTTATGTTAACACAGGTCTTGTTTTTATTCTCACCATCAACCTATATTTATCTATTAATACTATCATTTATTATTTCTATCATACAGCATATAACCTACTTAAACTTTTCAAATAAAATTCCTATTATGAATTAAACAATAAAAGAAATTCTTATAAATTCCCTGAATTTTATGTTTACACTGGTTTAGTTTTCATATTCACCATGACTGCACCAACGCATGGAATGTCACAGTAATTAAAAAAGAAAAAGGCTGAGAGTTGTGAAAATTGTAGAGGCAGACAAAATGTTATTTTCAAGACCTTGTCTAATTTGATCAAACATCAGAGCATCAAACTTATTTGATTCTAATATCTTTCAAAATATCGATGAAAAGTATAATTATCTCACCAACAACCAAATTCTCATCACAACTCTGAAGATGACACGACAAGTTTTCAAAAAATTCACATCTGATTGCATGGTCCATTTGAAATTAACTGTAGAGAACTCCACGGTTTTATAGGAAACTATCATCTAAATAACTCATACTTTGAAAACTAATACTAATTCACGAAATGTCTGTATATCCCTTTTAGACTCAGACTTGAAAAAAATGTATATCCTGTAGTCCTGAGAAATTTTTTTCAGAGTCTGCCTCAGATAAAAACATACCATCACGAAACGCAAATTTGTACAAGAAAAACAAACATCGCCAAAGATTTTCAATGACCTGCACAAACAATGTGTATGTGTCTGAACATGAAAAAAGAACATGCTTATGAGAAAAACCAAAATCCTATCCTGCACAATTATGTGGGTTGGGATTATACCTATACCTACACAATTGTGTAGGCAGGGATATGTCTACACAAGAAACAATCTTCATTCACAGATAAAATAAATAGTTTAATTTTTTTCACCACTTCAGTTTTAAAACTGACAAAACTTTATATTTCTTTTTTACACCACTACTGGAAATTTTCTTTATTACTTGCTAACACTTATTAATCACAGAAAGATCTTGGGGGATGAACAGTGTTGTACAAAGGTTAGTTGCGGAATATGGTAAGAAAGGTTTCTACAGTTTTGCTTTCTTTCGAGGAACAATAACTGGTTCTTCTTGAAATACAAGTATATGTCTTCCTCATTAGTAATGTGTCTTCAGAAAGTTGTACGTATACTCAGGGATTTTCTGCCTCTTAAACATGTGAATCACATGAACGCAAGTAACTCATTTGTTTTGCAGTGACTTCTTTGGAATTGAAATACTGAAGTGCCTGTGGGGATTTTAATCAATTTTCGTCCCAGTACGTAACACAAGCGATACATTATCATTACTGTTAAGTTTACTTTATACCACAAAACAGGTGACAAAAAAACTACACACTTAATCAAGATAAATCATCTGGAGACATATGGAATGTGTGTAAGTAAAGGGTGAGCATAAGACAAAGAAGAAGGAAAAATCATGCACAGTCTATGGTCTATTCGGGTATCGCTCTGGCATGACTGAAGTTGATCGAAGAAACCACGGAAAACTACTGAACAGGACAGCAGCTGAATTCAATCTAGCAATCTAGTTAGTGCTCAAAATCCTGCCACTGTCAGGTCCTTAGGACTGTCTGGTCAGTCCTAATGACTGATCAAATGACCTGGACATCACACCTCCCCCCCCTCCCTTTCAATAAAAAATGCACATACTTGCAATCGTTATACAGACCTTGATGTTGATGGCACACCATTTTCTCTGATTTCAATTGAATCTCTTAGTTCAGCAGGAATATTCACATCCCTCAAATTCTGAAAGAAATGCATATTTATGACAATGCTTCAAAACGACAATGACATTTTTCCACTAATTAATATCTAGAATTTGAATTTACATAAAACTAAAAGGATAGTGATACACAATAATTAACGCACCATTGAATCTGCTGGACTTCTAGCATTCCCTGTTACATTTTCCACAAAATCTCTCCCTTGATTGAGAATAACGTACGAGCACTTAGGAGACCATCTAGCATGCTCAACCCAAGGGTCATCTCCATCAGTCCAATTGCTGACTTCTTTTCCACAATGAAAGCAAACTGTTTTGTCACCATGTCCTACAACAAGGAAAATTCAAAAACAATCTTCTTATTACACAAACTAAAAATTCAGTTTTGGAAGAATAGACTTCATACAACGTAATTTTACAAGAGGCCTGAAAATAAAATGAAATGTTGTCAATAACCTCTTATCATTTGCTAGACACACAGTACTGATCAATTCAACATTGCTCTCAATTTATCACAGGAATACAATTCCTACAAAAGATTTCCACATAAAGTAGCAAATGTGATACAGTACAATGAAAAAATCTTTTATATTTACACAAAGAAGGTGTCCAAAACTCAGCACACGCACCTCTTTCTGTAGTATCAATCAAGGGCGTGTACCAGAAAAATATATTATTCTCAATAATGAGATATTTTGACATAACTGACTGCGGTATTTAGTGCTTTGTAAGCAACACTCTGAAAAAAATGTTTATGCTCAAATCTCTTTTCATTGCATTTGATATAATTTGCATATCTCACAACTTTCCTTCATATCATGCTTTACAAACTGTTAGTTAATGCTCCAAACAAATAAACTTTTGGCATATTTGGCACAAATATTTTTTAAGCCATGAAATGTACTGAACGATCGTTTCACGAGTGCATGCAGGTGGTCTCTGATGCACATGCCCTATTTGGATTGTCTCGCCACCATAAAGGATAAAAATACTCACTTTCTTGGAAGAGGTGCGACTTAACTCTTCAAGGGAAAGATACCTACAGGCAATGATCAGGGGTGGCCAAACTGAAATTACATTATTAAAGGATTCCCAGATCTGTCAGACCACCTGCGTGTACTGCTGGGTTAAAAAATTAATTGAAATGTTCAATTTAATGTGTGTTCTATACAATGTTATGAAGATTATATGAATTACTTTATTAAGAATTACTGAGTACTCTCAATTGAAATTTCACTCTACAATATGACCACTAGTTAAACAAGTGGCACCACACACATCGCAGTTCTAAACTGACTTGGGTAGGTCCAATGTACCTGGAAAATAGGCTATATGTATTCTCTTCTGGCTTAATATATAAAATATTGAGAAATTGAAATAATAGCTACAAGGAAGCACAAATGTCTTATTGAACAATATTTAATTGTATTTGGGGCATTGCATACAAAATTTAACACATGAGAGAAAAATTGAAATTCACAATTTTTAATATTCAATTTTTTTTATGAATTCAACAAAAGAACTATTTTTTATAAAGAGTAATGTTATGCCCCTCAAAGTTATATGTTTTTTATTTGGCTTTGAAAACATTTGTATTAAACAGTGTCGATTTCCTGGAAATCTAAAACTCCATTAACATTTTAATCTTAAGACACATTTGCCTCGAAAGCTAATAAAATTATCATTTGTTTAATGTGGATTCATGTTTTCTGAAGCAGGCATACATGAAATAATATCATATAAGAAAAACTTTAAAATGAAAATAGATCACAAGATTTTTTCAGTGAAAACATTGTAGTCATCATCTGTTTTAAATCCTCCAAATATCAAAATAACAGAATAGAAAAACCAGTAGGCTATTATTGTAGAGGAAGGAAATTGAATATAAGGGACCTGCATAATGGTACTCCTTGACAGAATCAACTGTGTATTCAGTTGAAAAGGTAATGGAAAGGTCAATTTTTTCATCTTCGTACACTCAAAATTATTTTACTTTGCCTCTGCAAACCTCCAACAAAGCAAGATATAGGTTATAATACGTTCTTAAAAAAAAACTAGAGAGCTCTAAACAAAGTCAGCAAATCACTCTTTCGTGTTCCATTGTTGTATGTAGAGATTTTTAATATTACGTGCTGCAGTAAACACAGGATGCAGTTAATAATGTTGATAGAAATGATAAATATAATTTACTTTTGATGTTTTCATTTCACCTTAATAAGTGCTTTCCGCTTCAAAAAAGAAATTTACAACTTTTCACGGAAAATCCATTACTGGATAACACGAGAGATTAGAACGCCATGAAAAATAAACGAATTAGGTATTTCATTCATAAGCATCATAACATATCTAGTGATTTCCACCTCTTCTTTCAATTATTTTGAAGATAGGTAGTTCAGCAGGCTAAAATTATAAATCAATTGATATATTTCCAACTTTAATAATGAAACAAAAGGAATGTGTAATATAGTAAAAAATCTTGCACGTCAACTACAAACATTGTAGAGAATTTGGTTTTAAAAGATGCTGATAGAGAAGTTAAGCACATTCCACCAACATGATTCTTTTATGCCACTTCTCGTTAAGGTACAAATTTTACCATTACCTGGCCTCTTGATTTAAGAATCGATGGTTTTTGACAATTATTTACTCAAAGGTGGGAACATATTTCCAGCAAATGCACATGTCCGTAACTGTGAACAAGGCACTCATTGAAGTAATCACATTCATTAGGTGTCAGTATGCGCAGCTCACTTCAAAACAATTTACATACAAGTACATTCTTTTTCAACACTGCCAGATGACTTTAAACGATTAAAATCTATGCAAAAAAGTACAAAGCAAATTCTTTTCTGATACATAACTGCATCTGTACACTTTAAGACTATATCGAGCATCAAAAGAAAATAATATTAATTTTAACAATGATATTTACTGTATTATTTACCCTTTGTCTGTATAATTCTAAACAAGCTGTAACTAGTATTATACCTCTGCAATGGTCAATGACTAAACCTCTATTAGATTTTTCATCCAGTTTCCCTGAGCCCTTGTGCAAATCCAGAGATAGCCCTGTATTTTGCTTCTGGACATGAATGTAACTTCCTTACCTGTGCACGTCTTCTAGTGTTCAGTGGGAAATATAGTTATTCAAATTATGGTTTTCTATGTTGCCATGGCAGAAATAAATTCCTTGACGACATGATGAATAAGAACCTAATCTAATGCTGATTTGCTTTCCAAAACAGACTATTACAAAGGAGAGTATTTTTTGTTAATTAATTCTCACCAAAGAAGACTTTTCTAACTATTCAGAATTCAACTTTTTTATATGCGTTAGTCTAGGGATACCAGAATTTAAGAAAATGTGCATTGAATACACTCCTCCCCATGATAAATGGATAAATAAACCATTGATTGCAATGAAAATAATTTTGTGTTCACAAGCTTATTTGACTCCCCCTGATCAGTGCACATTTCTGTCTCATTCCTGTCGCCAGGGACAAATTCTCTGAGGTTTGTAAACAATCCTCCTCAACAGAGCAGTATGTTAAACACAGAGAGCTGCTGAGTTATTTCCAAATTGTGAATTGTTGTTGCATCAGAGACCACTTATTGTCGGTGCTGCATGTTACAGGAGGAAGGTTGTGCATTCTAATTTCAGTAGGGGTTTTATTCATGTCTATAGAAAACTTATGGGCAATAACTGTGAGTATAGATATTACAGTTTTATAAAAGTAAAAAATGAGCAAGTGTCATGTTTCAATGTTTATTTCAATCCATTTTATTTAGAAAAACATGGGAGAAAATGTGCTAAAAACTTGAGAATAGAGGTTCTGGAGATGTTAGAAAAGTTATATAGATCTGATATTAAGCTAATCCCACATTTAAAAGTACATGATTCTTGTCTGCTACAAATTTGGAATATTTCAAGTACTAGAAATTGATATAATTATCAAGCAAAAGATTCAAGAAATGCAAAGTCACCTATTCCTGGCATATCCACAGAACTCAACAGTGATAAGTAATGAATTTGTTAATAAAGTTAACGGAAGTCTTGTATCGTGCTCAATGAAACTTCCAACACAATTACTAATGCTTTACTAAAGGAATAGAAAAAGAACCTGCAGAAAGGCGTAAACAAACTAGTATTTAAAATATCTGAAGGGAAGGAGATATTTAACTCAAGATGTCATGGACGAACTGAAAGAAACATTTCAAGCAATAAAAGAGAAATTAAATAATAATTCTTACATTAATTGAAAACTAATCTTGCTGACAAATCCTGAACATTTTTAATATATCACTTCACATAATCACAAAAGCTAGTAGTGTATCTGTAGTAGCAAATCAAAATGGAATTATCTCAACCCTTAATCTAAAAAGGGAAGTTTGGAAAACAAAGATTTCAAATTTCTCATAACCTGACTAAAACCATGCATATAAGAGAGCGCATGTAGCATGCATTCAACGTGTGACTGTGCCAATCATCAAAATATACAATTTATGATAACTGTGTACATATTCCACAACTTGCAGAAGAAACCTTTCAACCATTATGCAACTGAAATGGTTTAGCTCAAATTATCTGCAATCCCCCCACAATAAAAGGTTTTCAACTATAGGGCAGAGAATGCTGGGTCGTCTGTGTATATACAATGAATACAGCACATGCCTGAAGAAAACCTGCTCAAAAATGTAACATACAGGCAACGAGTGCCAACATGCAAATCAATTTTAGAAACCTAGTACTCTGCAAGAAGGAGTTTTCTGAAACAAATTTGCCAATCAGTCCACAATGCTAACAAAACTCATTTATTGCAAAACATCAATTTTTTGAAACAGAAACAAAATCTGAAGAAAGGAGGTTCAATACTCATGTGATTTTTCAGAAAATTATTTACTTTTATTCAAAATTCTTTTCAAGGAGTTTAACCAAAACAATGAATAAGTTGTGATAAGTGAACACCGAAACACATTTGCATTACCAATTAACTTAAGAAGGCAAACTAGCACATTCCCCTGCATTTTCTTTCAGTACCTGAATGGACTTAAAAATAAATGAAAATTAATGTATTAATTTAACACGTGTAAGCATATTCCAAAATACCTTATTTTTGCATTCAGCTGAATGCCAGTCAAAAGAAAAAAGGAGGAGGAAATAATGAGAAACTGCAAATCCCCGTTTCCATTCACAGCACAGAACTATTAAGAAACTTTTGAGACTATTTCACAAATACTTCACTTACTTCAAGGCTTAACATCTTCACAATGTATCAATTTACAGTGAAACAATTACTAAATTGTCTACTTGGTGGTGACTGAAAGAAATTTGTATAAGCAATAAATAAGGGGTTCAATAAAATAATCCTATTTCTCACGGCACAAACTAACTTGTCTAATTATTAATGACAGTAAATATATTGGCATCCTAATGATTAGTTATTACCACTAGGGTATATTTAACAAATTTCATGGATTTATTACAAAAAAACCTTATTTTACACAATTGTACAAACTTAAAAATGCATGCGCTAAAGGTATGGAAATCTGACAAACATTTATTTACTGCGCAGAAAAGAACTACTCTTATAACTGAGAACTTACCAGAATAGAAGAATCCAGCTTCACACAATCTCTCTGGCCGCAGCTTCATTGAAATCGGCCAAGTCTTGAAGGACTGTAGTCTACTTCCAGGTGATACAAACACTGAATGCACTGGTGGTCCAGTCTCATTTATTCCCAACATCTCAAGAGCATTTTGAACCATATTTACCCCTGTGTAAATATATTAGTATTTAGTTTCAATGGATAACACATACAATAAATGTATTATCAATTCTGATCTTTACATACCATTATTGTCATTTTGGTGGGTTCTAGCATGCAAAGGGCAAACCTCAGATACAACATGAATACGATGAGTGTGACTGACAAAATCTTCACGATGACGAATATCATTCATAAAAAAATCACGTAAAAAAGGGCAATTTGGTCGCCAATTTTGGTGTTCCAAGAATGGATCATCGCCCAACTGCCAGTCACCCAATTCTAGACCACAGGCAAAACATTTCACAATATCTTGATAATTAGTGTAGTAAAATCCATTAGCTGATAACTCGTGGGGGCGCATATTAGGGTTTGGCCATGTTCTAAAAGTACTGTAACGCTCATTTTCATCTGCCAAGTTCAATTGACGGGATGCCATGAAACTTGAGACGATTGTTGATTAGTGGTGTATGTGCGAACGTGCAAGTTCTAGAAAAGAGACAAAAGGTATTTTATAAATACTGTGGAAAAAAACATAATATATAAATGACAATAATAGAAAATAATCAAATGGAGCTGACAAAACGTTCCCAACGTCTCAAATTTCATTTCAACAACGACGTATGTGATGTTCAATTACGTAAGATATATACTATTTTGTATATTCGGTAAAAACCATTCCTATTTATTACAGACTGCATCTCGTAGTACGTTACGAATTTCAAGAGAAATTATTTGTTCTACGTCAACTCCAAATCAGCGCTCTGAAGCCAATGTTTCAATTACTTCATTCGAAGTAACAACGAACATTGAGTTCTGTTTTTTCTACTCTACACTAATTCGTCACTCCATAAAGAATATTTACAGGTGACATAACAATTGTTTTCTCAAACATTCGTCCCTCGCCAAAATTTTGCGGCAATTTACTCACCTTCCAACCACTTCAACCCGTAGACAATACAACGAAGAGTTGGACTTTTTCCCCTTATTCAAATGCTCTTCAGGGCCCTTTAACTCCCATATAACGTGGAGGGGGATCATTATAGTGGCGCGCTCTAGAGCATTACCTTCTTACACGAACTAAAATACGAACTGCTACCAACGTTATTTAAAACGTGTATGGGTTCTCGAGACGCACGGGCGGGACATACGCGCTTGATACAAAAGATCGCTCCGCTGTTCGCGCTAGCTTTCCTTTCATGCGTGTATTATTATGAATAAATGAATTTTAGAAACTAACAGAGTTAAACTTTGTTTTTAATTCATTTCAGAAATCGCTCATAATCAAAGTGTATTCGTATTTCAATTTTTATGTGCCAATTTTTATGTGCGAAAGTTGGCGAGCCTTACCAGCAGCTGTATTTTGCGACACTAGCGCACCCTATAGTAGCCACCTCTAGCTTTGTTTTTTGAAGAAGAGTTGTCGGGCCCTGATGCTCTTCTTGCCAGTTGCAGGCGGATGTCAACAGGTGTGTGCAAGAGTGCCACCTCTGTCCGGCTTGCCTGTCACTGCTGTTGCCAACGTTACATATTTAAAGTGCGGTTTTTATAACTGCCTCTCATGGCCCTACTTCCCGCACATAAGGTCACCGTACTTCGCGTTTTTCTCGGTCTTGCCAGCCAGATGTCGCATGATCGTGACAATTTGCAGCCAAAACCACCTAGAGATACACTGCTATACGGTTGCTATCATGCGACATCTAGCTCTACGACGGAGTCTGTTTTTCGCGTCTTTACGCGGAAAACAGTGACATAATGCTACCGTAAGTAAGGCCTTGAGGGGCAGTTATAAAACCGCACTATAAATAAGACAATTACGTGAATAAGAGGCGCATTTCTCAGATAATACTCATTTCTGTCCAGATAGTCAGTTCAAAATATTTTATAGTTTCTTATTATTTTTTTTTTATTTTACTTGAAATATCAATGTGCCTTTCTCCTGTAAAAAATTACTATTAAACCACTTTATACTTCCAAGGAATAATTACTGTGTCGCCGCTTTTACAAACTTCTTGCATTATATTATAATTCTAATGAGTATTAATCGGCGGCGTCGGCGATCAGAAGAACGCTGTGATTAGTTAGGAAGTAGTAACGTCTGACGAGTGCTCAGCAGTTTATTTGAAATTAGCAAAGTTGACGAGAGTTCAGGAAATTAAGTCAGAAATCGACAATGGTGTCACAGGTATTCTAACTGTGCTCAGTTATAGATTTGGGCGGATATAATAGCAGTCTAGAGGAACAGGTGCTGGACTAACACAGGCGTCATAAGACTTAATTGGGCAACACGAGTCTGAAGTGTTGAGGTACGCTGAAATTACGCTAGTAACATGCGCCAGAACTGTACATCACGCGTCGGCGTGCTACTGAAGAGCCGAAGCAGTCGAGGTAAGGAGCCGGGGGCCAAGCAAGAAGAGCATACAAGTCGATTCCGAGGGAAGGCCGGGGCGACAGCGTTGGCGAAACGTCGAGAGACATCTGGACGAGAGAGCGGAGCGCCGGCGGCCGAAACTGGGGCAAGGTCACCGACGGGGAGATTTGCGAGCCGCGCACTATGCGCACGAACAAAGGTCACAGAATTTTTGTAAAGAGAATTGAGAGCAGGCAGACACTAATGTTGGGACAGCAGTAAAAAGGATACAATTGTAAATTTGCATATTCACGTAGATTGTCGTCCGAATTAGGCCACGGCGCCTAAAAAGAGAGCCTTGTACGCCAGTAATACAGTTCATTCATGTGTTATATTATACGATAAAAGCAGTGTAAATATTTGTCCCTCATTTCTGTGTAATCTTGACGAGGAAATTAACTGTGAATAGTTGTAGTTGGATAAGTCACTCAAAAATTTGTTTGTTTATTAAAAATCTAAGATGATTAGAAATAAGGAATTTAATTTGTTGTTCTCATCAGTCAAGGGATTTAACTTTTTTTTTTAGTGTTAACCAAGCAGTAGTTACCGTGCACGGGCATCTTGTAAAAAGTAGTGGATTAGGAAGGTATATTCGAATCAAGCAAACAAACGATGTTAATTTTCAAAGTGGGTGAAGGGTAATTTGATTTTTATGTTATATATTTGTGTGTTACTTGATATCAGGTCTTTGTATTTCGTTCAGTGCTGTTATATGTGGTTATATTCTGGAGAGAATATTCGCACTGTTTTGCCTGATTTTGTGTCTGAGGATAAATCTTTCTCATACCCCAAAAGATCCCTGAGATTTCAAAGATCGATTAGAGCATAC